GGAAGGGGAAGCTAGGCCCGTCCTGGCCCGGCCGCTCATAGCGTGCTTCCTTCAGGAAAAAGGGTGTCGAGTGATGTTTGGCAGAGGTCAGCTCTCTCTTCTCTTCAGGTGCGATGCCGCCTAAGGGGCGCGGGAGAAGCAAGCTACCTGTTCCTCTTCCAGGAGGCATGATCCTGAAGGACACCGAAGGAAAAGCCTGGAGGCTGGGCAGCCAGATCGGCCAGGGAGGATTCGGCTTAATCTATTTAGGTACAGGAAAAAGGGTGTCGAGTGATGTTTGGCAGAGGTCAGCTCTCTCTTCTCTTCAGGTGCGATGCCGCCTAAGGGGCGCGGGAGAAGCAAGCTACCTGTTCCTCTTCCAGGAGGCATGATCCTGAAGGACACCGAAGGAAAAGCCTGGAGGCTGGGCAGCCAGATCGGCCAGGGAGGATTCGGCTTAATCTATTTAGGTAAAATACCGCTGGTAATCACGAGGGCGTTTTGTGAATGCGTTCGTAATCTTGCTGTATTAAAAAGACAGAGCGGGTTAAAAATGTGTTGTTCTTTAAAAATGTATTGTTATTTACATGCCAGGGACCACCTGCGTTACGAGGGTGGCTCTCCGCCTTTAACAGCGCTCCGTTAGGTGTCCTGGTTGTTCAGAAGTTCTGCTGGTGGAGCAGCGTGCCTCTCCCTGAGCTGGCCAGCCCAGTCTGCTGGCTTCAGACGTGCTTTTCTCTGGAGCTTGTGGGGTAGGCAAGGTGCTGTTGCTGTCGAAAACTACCAAAGAGTGCTGCCAGTAGATGCTGTTCAAAGTGAAGCTCGCGCTTCTGTAAGTGGCCTCTTTTGACTTGCCACCGGTCTGATGCCCCTGAGCACTCTTCGGGTTTCTGGTTATTGGAAGTGCCATCATCTGGCTAACATGTAAAATCAGAGCTTGTCCAAGAAACACACCAGAAGCAATAGTAAGCTGGTTGTTGCCTCTGAATTAAAATTTTGTATTTCACCAGAGGTGGAAAAGCTATTTTGCGTTTGCTCTAGTCTGGTTACGTTTCTGTTTTTTTTTCAGGAGAAGTTGCTGCATTTCACTCGAGCTGTGTTTTGTAAGGAACGAATGGTTTTGAAGGGCAGTTTGTAAAGTGCTCTGGGTCACTGGAGAGGATATAATGTATGCTGCTATTGCTGGTCTCTATAAAAGAGGAAATCCAGTTTTCAAGGCAGTGTTATGAGCGAGCTTTTTTGTTTTGTGTAAAACATATACAAGCAAACTGGTCCACAGTGATCTATCAAGGACAAAATTGAGCTTGTCTTAAGACAGCAGTAAAGAGTTACCCTAGAAGCAGTTCAGTCCATCACCCCTGGAGGCAAACATGATCTTTTTAAGTTAGACAGTGATATTTAAGTCTGCATTTGCAGTCATAATGTTCAAAACTTGATAATCAAACTGCTACAGTACATAAATTGACTTCCTAGTCCACATTTTAAAAAATCAGTTATATTTTTCTCTCTTTCTCTTTCTTTTTTTTACTTTTACTTTTTGTGTGTTTATGTCATGGTAAGCACAGTTGCTTCCTTTTTTGGAAATTTTCTTTAATTCTGCTATTATCATTTGTTTTCCACTCTTTGTTTTTTTGGTTGATCTCATAACAATGTTTATTTCATCCTGAGTACTTTGCCAGAAGATACTCTCTGATAATACACTGGGGTACAGCATGAGCTTTCCACGTAGTGTGTTTTCCAGAATTCTGTGAGAAGACATATTTTCATTAGCACAGGCATCCTGTGTCACACGTCTTCTCAGTTCTTTTGCCTTTAGTAACTGCAAGACGTTCAGCATGCAGGGATTCCTTTCAAGTACGCAGAGCTGTGCTGGTTTGCGTGTGGTTTCAGGCAGGTGAAGGGGTTGTCCATCAGTATCAAACTGTAGCATCAGGCACCTAGTACTGAGAGAAAAGGTTTGCATTTTCTATGTAAGGGTTAGTGTGCTTGGTCTTTTATATTTGCAGTCTTAAATGCAGCACTCATGTGCCACTGTTTTCTTTATGACAGATTTAGTATGATATTTGTTACGTCTGCCTGGCTATCTCATCGTGCTTGTCTGTTTTCAGCTGTTCAGGAAAATTTTATATTGCACTGAACTGTTATTCGCCTCTCCTTTATTCCCCTCTTGTCTATTATGGTAATTCAGGAAGAACTGAATGGCAACTGAAGACCTATATTTTATTTCATAATATGATGGTCCCCTATGGGATCTGATGTTGGTTCTCTAAAGTGGTTGCCCAGATGTACTGTTCTTCCAGTTAGCAGTGTGTATCTGTACAGGACAGGAGGGTGAGCAATCCTATTGGTGTTTTATCTGAACTGAAGTTGCATCTTGACTTCAGGTTTGAGTGGGGAAGCGTTCTGAAGAAAAGGTATACACAAGGCAATATCTAATGTTCTGCCTTTTAGAAAGAAGACAAAATTGTATTTTGTTGCACTTCGTGCCCGTGTAAATGAAGTGAAAAGTCTGCTGTAACAACCTACATGCCATTGTTTCTTGAAAAACATGGCGAAAACTAAGGCTGTGTGTATGTTTGCAGGTAGTTTGGTGTAACAGAAGTGGATAAGTAACTGGGAGCAGTCGGTGGTTAGGTCCCTACATTTACCATATATTTAAGTTGAGGATTTGTTTTATTTTGGACTAGATCTGGTCTGGTGTGCTACACAGAATTTCCTTACCAAGCATGTGGTTTGATGGTTTGAGGCTGTCTGAAAGAACTGCTTTGAATCCTTACGTCACCCTTAAGAGTGGGAGTGCATCCGATGGGTTTCTATAGTGAAGTTTTTGTTCTAGTTTCCTCTGAAATTTATAGTTCACGCACACCTAACTGTTCTGCAGACTGAACGAGTGGGCAGTAAATGGGGATGACTGGGGATTCAACTGCTGCTCCTGTTCATGATGCTAGTATAGACATAGCCTAAGATGTTCTTGACAGCAGTTCAAAAGTTACTTAGCTTTAAACTATGTTAAGAAGCTGTTTCACTTCCAGATTTTTTCTTCCTTCTTGATGATTCTTTTTTTCCTGATAAGAATAATTTGGCTGCTTCTTCCATTAATTAAGTTCTCCAGTGTGCAATACCGTTCTCTCCTGACGTTAGTCTCTTTTAAATACTTTTGGGGGGGTCAGCAGCTTTCTCACCAAAAAAAAAACCTAGCTGCCATATCTGTTTCTTTTCTTCCTGTATTGTGTAGTGTTCTATTAACACCTTTTCCAGAGTCAGATCAGTAGCTGTGGTTTCTCAGAAATGGGCAGTTACAGAGGAGCCAAAGGGCAGCACACTTCTGATATTTGCATTTTTCCTTTTGATAACTGTGATAGCTTTTTGTGACCTCTGAAACATCAATTGGTTGCCTTTGAGAGATGCTGGGCCTAGAGCATATATGGGAAGTGTTACCAGAAGAAAATAGACCTTAGCATGAGCTAGGAAATGCAGGTAAGGTGCTTCTTGGTATCACTGTTCAAGAATAAGTTGTGGGAGAGGATACGCAGATATAGAGTGCAGCATCAGGATGTGAAGGACAGGGAGACAAACTTATAGGAAGCTCCCACAGAGAGGAGGGATTAAAGGAACTGCAGGTGTAGTGCAGAAAGCAAGGTTGTAGTGGGCATAATTCTCAATGTAAGGTAAAGTAAGTTGAATGGGGAAGATGTAAGACAAGTGTTGTGTTCCTCAATCACTCAGAACATGGTTCTGTCATATTTTCTGTTACAGTCAGATCACACCAGACCTGGTAAGTGGTACAGCACGTGCAATTCCGTGAGTGTTTCATGCAAATGTGATTAATTTTCTGCCTGATCACAAAGACCACTGAGATGATTTCATATATTGTGATGTTTGTTGCTGTTTGCCTACCACTGAGCTGAGGCAGAAAGCTGTCAGTGGATTAGCTGAGAAAGAGAATATTATCTGGGACTATTGGCATTACTATTCTGTGTTTTTTCATAAGTGATGGCGTAGCTGAAGAAATGCAGCTGCCATCTTTATAATGGCATTTGTATTAATTTTATCTCCCCTTTCAGAAGGGGTATTGAACACTACACACAGCACTGAACTAAAGGCTTAGTTCCCCTTCTAGCTCATTGTAGAATTAAAGTAGGAAGTGGACAAGACTTACTCTCAAGTATTGCCACGGACAGAAGCTTTCCTGTTTTGTCTAGCTCTTTATCTCTTACGCTTGTTTATGTTATGTAAAATTTATCATTCAGCAGCTTATCTGGGGCTTGATCCTGTAATTGCCTTTGAGAGTCAAGGGAGAGAAGTAGATGATGAACCTCTGAGCGTGAGACACAGATGGGTGGTGCTGAGAGGTGTCGACAGTCTTTCTGTATGTTATTCAACCACTTTGAGATAGTTTTTAATACGTATGTAGCTAGTTGTGACCACGAAACTTTTAGTGAGAAACTAACCCAAAAAGAACTGTAGAGAGCTGAGCAAGACAGAGGTATGGAGACAAATTGGGCAATCTGCCAGATATGAATGGCAAAGCCCTTTTATAAAAGTAAGGGTTAACTTTGTTGGCTATACTTTTTAATAAGTATTTTTGCAGCAGTGGTGTAGAGATTTTGATATGCATTGTTACAGCTTAATTTCCCAGTAAGACTTCTGCGTACTCCATTAATCTGTAACAATGTACTTGAGAAATTGTGAACAATTTTTGCAAAACATGTTTACTAGGGTTGTTGTATTACTTGGAAGGTTCTGTTAACTAAATCAAAGCTGCTGAAAGCCATTTACTCACCCTGAGCTGTAGGATGCAAATGGTCTTTTCAGGTCTGGGGCTTCTGAACTTCTGGTCATGTACACAGAAGTTACCAGGATCTGCAACTTCTGTCCTCTCTCTCAAGCATTTTCCCATCTTGTCTGCTTCTTTGCTGACTCATTCCTTCCCTTGGATTCCTTTTGTGTATTTATCTCAGCCAGAACAAATCCAACAGCAGAAGGCTTACAAATACTGATTCCTCCCAATGCTCCTGAAGAGCAGAGCTCCTGCTGCTGCCAGAAGCAATGTGAACCACCTAGAATTTTTCTTTCAAACGTTGCTTTTGTCAAAGGGAAAGCAGTACGGATCATAAGCTAGTACTTTCTATGGTGTTACATGTTAGAAGGCATTTTTTTTGAACTGGTGCTGATGTGCTGACAGCCACCCTGGACAGAACTATGTTATCCCTTTGATAAGGGGGAGGGATGGAGAGCAACCAGGGAAGAATGTGACATATTGGTGGTTTCATGATTAGTTTATAGCCCTGCGGAGAACAGTGGCAGTACATAAGAAAATTAAGCAGGACTTGAGGAGGGTGCCACTGAGAGCCTTACATTCTCTCATTTATCTTCCTGATCGCAGTCAGTAATTAACACTAGGCTTTATATAAATCAAGCTCTAGTCCTGCTGCAAGGACTCTATTAATGCACAATTTGAACTGAAAAT